GAAGTTCTGAGAGCTGATGTTAACCAAACTGGTGTTTAAAAAGTTGTCTTTCATCCTCTACCACCAAGCTTTAAAACATTAAGAGAAGTCTAGAATATTTAAATATTTTAGGGAAAACTTTATAATTTTTAAAGATGCAAAGATGCTGTCTATATTTGAAAAATTTGTCTAAAAATTCACCAAAAGCTATATATTTTTTCTTGATCTTTGATCAAGATAATACTAACCTATGCCTGGGGAGAGTGCTGAGCTCTTATACATGGAAAGTAGATATAGAATATTATCTGAGATAAGTGTTGTCTCAATGCTCTATAGAGCTATGAAAATACTTGTCTCATAAAGTAGAACTGATAAAAATCATTGTTAGATATACAGGGAATTTTATAAACTTATTACTTTAAAATTCTTGTGTGATGGCCCAATCAGAATGATACTATTGAGCAAGAACAATAAAGAGACATAAGAGCTAAAAGTTGTCTAAATAAAAGTGATTCAATATGGCAGAACATGGAGAAGGTCATGCTCACACTTACAAGGTTGATTTTTAGGTAGGAAAAAAAAATAAGAGAGTTTTTGTAACTAGATCCTTGACAAATATTTATACGTCATTTTTATCTACCAAGGAGATGATTATATCCGTAGAACTAAGGTAATAAAAATACTTAAACACCAAATATTTTATTATTGGCATCAAAATTTTGGGAACTTAACACATAGCGTTTATCTGAAACTCATTTTCTCATAAATTGGAGTAGTATCACAAAGACGCTTTTCTGCTGAGCTCTTTTTACCAACAGCCTATGGTTGAGGGATTTTCTAACTTCTTATATAGAGAGAACAAAAACAAACAAAAAACAGTGCCAAAAGAGTGGAATTATTTTAAAGGGTGTCATCTTTTGAAGAAAAAAATATACAGATGAATCATCTTTGGATTGAGTCATTTAAATGTTTTCTGGTTCCTTTTCTTTGCCACAGATGGAATCATTTGCCACCGAGGGAATCATGGCTAATACCCCTCAGCTGACTTGGTCTTTAAGGATCTTTAGCAAATTGTGTAGGAGCTGGTATGTCTGTCCTTAACCTAATGGATTCCTTATTTAACCAGTGGCTATTGTCCTTATGTCTGTTGGCACATCAAAATAGTGTCCTTAACAATATGTAATAATATATACTTATCCTTAATCTATTCTCCAGGTTATATTTTTCACATGCTCCTTCAGAGGAAGCCTCGGGTTATAGAAAGGAAAATGTCCAGATCAAGTTGGGGACTGCGAGTATGTTATTAAATACCTTAGTGGCTTCTCCTCATATAGGACTTATAAACTCTGTGTGACTCACAGGGTTTGTGTCAGGCTCAATAGCGAACATATATAAGAAATTAGTTTGTAAGTTATGTTCCATTTCATAAGCAGACACTTTTATCTCAAGCTAAGAACTAATAAAAAAATCACAGTCATAATTTAAGCCACTTGTTGTGAAAAGAAGTGTCACAGCAGGGACACAGCTCATTTTAGTAGATATATTGGAAGGTACCAATGGGTAGTCCACTTCAGGTCATTGTATATGATTGAAAATGTCTAATATACGAGTATCTTGAGATATTGAAAACAATATGAGTTCTATCTCATTTTGTATGTCATCTTGTATTTCTTTCAAGAAGTCCAATTATATTCTAGATAGTATATTACAGCTTGGTCAAAATCCTCCTTGTACAAATAGGGCTTTTGTATCCATAGCCTTGTAAGAGATACTGACAGTATCTGCAATTATTTAAGAAAAGTAAGTTATCCTGCTTAACGTGTCCAAAGTAAACAATGTTCTGACATAACACTGATGTGTTTCACTCTATCCCAATGGTGCACCTTCAGGTGGTATCATCCTCATTTTTCGACTAAGCATGTTTGATTGTTTTGGCTGTCATCTATACACATCTTTGTTTTGTCTAGTGCTATGAATGTAACTTAAACCTTTAAACATGGAGTTTTTATTCTATATACCCCTGAATAGACTGTGATGACTGACAAACACTGTTAGGTCATTATTTTACTGTACCAAAGTTCTAGTGACTTCAGAAATCATAGCATCCAATGATTTTGTGGTGTCTGGGTTTGAATACCACGATTGAGAACTGTGTTCAGTGATTGTTACTGCACATTTTTCAAATAAAAATGCATTTTTGCCAATTATGTTGTGTAGTCAAAGCAGCCTTATTTCTGTATGGTGGGTGGAGAGCATTCAATTGGTATTCACATGAAACTTGTATCACGTTAAAAATGGTATTCACCTGAAACTAATATGCTATGCTTGCCTGTCAACTATAGCTCACCTGAAAAAGAAAGGTATCCATCAGGAACTAGGAAATAAGAAGTCATTTGAGTGTGGCCAAGTGATTCTATCCATTTCTCTAAACTTTCTCATTAATTATTTGTATAAAGACTGGGCTGGGCTTTGCAAGGGAAATTTTCTAATAATTTTGAATGATACATTTATAAAATTATCAATTAACATGCTGAAGTATTCTATAGCACACAAGCACCTTTGCATATTATAAGCTATCTCTTCCCCATAAAAAAATGCTGAGGCAGGTGGTGGTATCTCCCTTAGCCTCACCCTGGTGAAAGGACCAATGTTCAAGGCCGATTGAAGACCACAACCATACAATTTCCTTTTAAATGTTCATTTACAAAGGCTGCCTTGTTCCCAGAGTTGCTTTCCCTCCATATGTGACTTAGATAGGTGTTGCGAAGATAATGATGAGTTTTTAACTTAAAGATAAACAGTGCACCCACTGCAAGCAAATAAATGCTTGGCACCATTCTCTCAACTTTACTTCGTGGTAGCAGTAACGCTGTTTCACACAGGCAGAATCTTTTGCCTCCTGGCTTTCTCTTAAATCATTCAAGATAAGTCATTAGAGACTTGCTTTCCCCAATGCTTCATTGGATTTTTAAAGTCATAATGTGCCCCATATTGAGAGAAAAATACAGATCATTTTGACACTCACTGTCTGGAGTGACAGGATCTCTCGTTTTCAAACTGTTTTCAGTGTCGAGGTATTATTATTCACCGTTCTCTATACCAAGGAATTTTTCATTCCTAATCTGATTGCTGCGACTTATGGAGAAAGAAGAGTTAATAGTAAGAGTGTGAGTATCACTGTTCTGTTAGAAACTCGTTTAAATGACTCACATTATAGATTAGGGAGCCAACACACCAATTATTACTCCACTGAGGCTATAGTATAGGTACTAGAAACATTTTTGTCAGAGTAATCAGATTTTTGAAATTATCATAGCTTTGGACCATTTTCATAGATCTCTGAGAGAGATTCTTCTTTACCAAAAGGTTCAAAAGTAAAAACAAACAAACAAAACAATGAGGTTAACAACAGAAGACTGCGCTCTCTCTCTGATTCCCTAGAGAAATTTACGTCATGAGCTCATTCGGCTCTCATGAAAAAGTGAACCAGCAGGAGCGAGCGACTTGGAGTCGTGCTAGTGAATATATTGGGCTGTGGATACACAGTGTCTTGCTCCCACTCTTGAGTAGCCTCACGAGCCCCTTTCTCCTCCTGACTTCCAAGAGCTGTTTCTTATGAGTCCTTTAGGCAAAGAGCATAGGTCAAAATAAGACCATGCAACCGAACCCGTTAAGAGCAGTTTTCTCTTCACCGCCCCTTCCAGTCCACTGCGGAAACACAAAGGAAGGGACTGAGATGCAGATTCTTAAGTCATTAGGTTACTACTGCTCAGAATTCAAAGAAGAACCGGGAGGAAAACTTACGAATCAAATCAAGGGGATGATTTATACGAAGGAAACCTGAAAGAATATGCTGCATGGCAAATGATTTAGACAGTGTTGGGACTGATTCTCCACCTGCTATGCAGCTCATATCCTGGCCATTCGGGGCACACCTGGCCCGCCATCCTGCCAAGTATCTGCACCTGTGCTCACCTCTGCCTCGCCCTCCTCTTCCACCAATTAATAGCTCTTCTGGTCACGTCCCTAGCGTTCTTCCCACCTTTGCTTAAATGTTAACCTTCAAAGAGCGAGGTCTTATGTAAAATTACTCTCCTATTGGAATGACCAACCTATAATTACCACAGTTGTAGTTAGCGCCCGATTTAAAATTACAACCACAGCCTTTCACCTTTGGTAACTCCGGGTCCCTCAGTCTATTTTATTTTCCTTCACAGTCAACGGGACATCTCTATGATTTGTTCCTCATCACTGGGTATATTTCCATGAAGGTAGGGGTTTTTCTTTTTTAAAAAAGATTTTATTGGGGAATTGGGGGAGGGGAGCAGCGTTGGGGAATCGGGGAAGGGGAACAGACAAGTTGCTGTCCTTTTGTTCTTCAGTCTAGTTGTGGAGGACGTTGCTTCACTGGCCCATGTTGGTATTATCATTGCGCTCTTCCCCGGCGAGGCAGATTGGTCACCGGCTTCTGGACGGCTGCTTGCGGCGGCTCACAGCAGCTCACGAAAGCTCACACCTGCTGCTGGTCAGCCCCACTTCAGCCTACAACGTCACCGGTGACTCACGGCAGCACAGCTCCAGGTTGAGCTGTTGTTCACCATCTTAGCTGCAGAGGGCGCAGCATCACTGGCCCTCATGTGGAATCTGAACCGGGGCTCTGCTGCTCAGAGCTGGCGTCCCCAGCCAACTCCTAACCAATGCGCCACTGGGCCAGCCCAGAGATTTTTCTTTTTCTTTCTCCCCCACTGCATGCACCCACTCCTCCTTCCTTGCTGCTCTAACCCTGGCATTGAGAGCAGTGCCTGGCAAATAGGGGGCACACAATAAATATTTGAGAGAAAAAACAGAATGAATCCTATACGAGAATTTGATTGGGTAGACTATAGAATAACATAGTGCTAACTTAATTTTTTTACTACTTTATCGAAGTAAATATTAGAATATTTAAATTGTATAATTTACTGATTTATGTCATGACACATGCCCATGAAAACAGCATCATTATCAACACACTGAATATGTCTAAACTGACCTTGCATGCCTAGAATAAATACCAATTTCGGTATTTCTACTACAACTTTAAACACAAGTATACACTCCAATAGTAACAAAGCAATTAAATATGATTATTTAAGTCTTTATTGCATTCTTAATATTTCCCATCAAAAAATAAGAGAAGGGAGAAAGGGAGGAAGGGAGGGGGGTGGGAGGAAGAAATGGAATTATAATGATTATGATATGAGTTGAGGGGATTTTCAGTTCTTGATGGATTGGGTCCCTACTTTGATATTGATAAGGGTGCTATAATTATTTGCAGGTCAGAGGAAAGATAAGAATTTTCAAAGTGAAGAAACATGAAAGATTTTGAGAAATGTCTGTATGTTCTTAATTTTAGAATGCTACTATTTTTTCAAATTTAGAATTAAAATGTAATAGATTACTTTGCTATTAATTAGGATCCTGGGAATATTAGCAGAAATATTCAGGAAGCTATCTAAATATCTGTTCACTGACAAAAGCAATTGACTTATTATGAATTATATTGTAATGAACAATCAAGTAAAAACTAGTTAATTCATTTATGCATAATAATTTTAATGTAAAAAGAAAAAAATTCACAAGCTATGACATAATTTTCTTTAAGGCATATTTTAAGCAACTAATTCAAAAGATATACTATATCAGTTGTTTAAACATGTGTTAATGATAAATTGTAACAATATATGTATTCAAAGTGAAACTAAGTTTCTTTTCACCTCTCACCTCCATGTAAGCAAGGCCCGCCTCAGACCTTCTTATCCAATATACTGATTAGTAGAATTATAAATACAATTATTTACACTATCCCTGAACTACTGTTTCTTTTTGTATATTTTCTGTGTGGTACTACTTTTAAACTAATAAATTTCTCTGCTGTAATCATTCATCAGAAATATTTATTTAAAAACATTTCAAATGATAAAAGCTGAAATAAGGATATAGGAAATAATCTATATACAACAAATAAATGAAGCCGCTGATGCCACTAACAAGATAGTTTTGTATTTGAAGAGTTCAGCTCATTTTAGGCTTCTGAAACTGCTTCTTCTTATTCTGAGGACATCCAAAGACCATTCCAAGTGAAGCTGGAGACCCCATAAGCAGGTCCTACCTGTACTATGTTGAATTATACTTCCATGTTCAAAAATGAGTATAGTGAAACCAAAATAAAACCCAAGAGTGTCTTTCCATTTTTGATGTTAGAATACATTATTCTAATGGAAACCATCCAGGTTGTTAGATTAGTTAGATGGTTTCATTCCCAAATCTCACATATTTATTACAATCGAGCATGATGATTGAGGTATGAGAGGAACCTAAGTGATCTACAAGTAAAAGGTGAATTCTCCTACCGCACTGCAAATAATTGAAGCAGAATTCATAATCCCAATTTCTCTACAAATGTGCCTGAAAATATATCACCAAAAAAATCTTCAATGTGGCATAAAGTCATGAATAACAAATGTTTAGCGGGGAAGCTTTTCTGAACTAAGTTCTCATGAGGGCAGTCCAACAGGTGAAAGGCTGCTCATCTCAGCAAAATATTTACTGTATTAGTAAGTGTTGCTTCTGACTGTCATCCACCTGATAATACAGAGAGGCAACAAAGAAGCTGTTTGTTAAAGTAGCAAAAAAAAAAAAAAAGCATTTCTATTGCTGGGAAATACCTCGGACTATGAAGTAGGCAGGTAGAAGGAATATCGATAGCGAAGACAAAAAGGTTGGAATCCTTCATCCATAGTTAGCTGTGGGGAAAATTACTCAACCACTCACAATATCCTCCCCTACAAAATGTGGACAATATATCACCTGCTTCTAAAGGTTGTTAGGAGGATTAGAACAATACAGGTAAAGTGCTGAGAATTGTTCCTAGCATAGGTTAACTGTGCCCTAAATGTTTATTAGACAGCTATAACTTAAAAACTACCAAGCAATAAAAATATGAAGTATGAAACACACATAACAGTCATGTAACATTCCAAGGATTACAGTACTTTGACAAATTTATAAATACATTACTTCATCTCATTTGTACATATCTTTAAATAGTTCACAGATAATACTGATATTTCACATTCCACACTGAAAGGTTTGAAGCGTCTTTCCTGAGAAAATGTAGTTATACACCAGAGGTGATAATCGAAAGGCTTAAATTAATTCGACCTTTTGGGTGAGTAAGGTCTCCTGTTATTCCTTTAGTCGACATGCCTTCTACTTTCCTGAGTGTCAGCAGGTTTGAATTTCTATAAGTTAGAGTATGGTTTTACTCATAGCAATCACAAACCACCTGTAATGAACATATGTATCAAAGTATAAGCACATTTTCACAAAAGCATTAGACATAAAATTCTAATTCATGAATTCAGATTCTTTCTGGTTGCAGGTAGCAACCACTGTTCCTTTGAACCCATAACATATACATTTTATGGAGGTATGAGCTAATGGCATTGTGTTCTAGTCTTCCCACTTTCCCCCAATATTTTCCTCAGATAATACAGTAAATAGTGAAAAGAAAATTAGAGTCTCAAAGTGCATTTTTGTACTTATGTATGGGTTGCCTTTAGCAATCAATTTTCAATCCCAAGTGAAGAACAGTGGCTCCCTAAGGTGTGGCGAGGCAGCCATGATTCTCAGCGTTTGGAAGGATGGGTGGGTTGGAGACTTAGCTAAGTCGAATTTTCTGACATAATTCAGTAGAGAATAACTGTCCCACTCACAATAGGTCAGAAGGTGAACTTACCTCCTGGTGTTTATTGTCCAAAACTCAAATTTAAAATGTAACATTTATTCATACACATATGCACTCTTCCTTATTTATATACATAAAAACCACTATCAAAGCTCGAAGTTGACAACTTCAAACCATTCCTTTCAGCAAAAGTCTGAGAAAGAAATTCAGCTTTCTTTTTTAACTTTAAAGCGGAATTCACGTTCCATCATGGGAAAGTACCTGGTCTCCTCACTCATTTAGTGCATTTTAAAGAAAGAGTTTTCTCCATCAAATGCATATCTGTTTGATTTTTCTGGAACGTCCTCTTCTTGCACAGCTGCTGATGTATAAACAATTGCACCTAATACTGGCACTGAGCCCTTTTCACATGCAAATTTCGACTGTGTTTCAAGGAATAAATAAGACCCACAGTGACCATTCTCATTCAGATCTTCATCCAGCCAGTTCATTTCCTCAGCCTAATCAACATCACATAGGGGGTGGTGCCTTCAGTCCTCAATTCACTGTAGAAAAGACCACACAATCATGAAAATCGAGCACATTAAACAAAAGTGATATAATTGCCCTAACACCAGCCACCATTACCATCTCCACCACCTCTATACCACCAAGTCTGGACTAACTGCTTTAATCTGAGAGATGGTGGTTAATTGGTCGATTCTGACTAATTCTCCATGAGACACAATAGAATCACATTGTGGAAGCTTTAAACTTAGCTGTACTAGGTACAAGAGTGAGGGGAAGTAAGAGAATGTTAGAGCTTGTGTCAGCCATTCCACTCAGTGAAGATTCGCACCAGGGTGACTTGGATGTTTTAGTTCTGTGGGTTTCTCAGAGCCTGAACGTCCCTCCTCACTGTGCACGCACATGCACACAAATGTGTGTGTGTGTGTGTGTGTGTGTGTGTGTGTGTGTGTGTGTTGTTGTTGTTGTCCTTATCTAACACCGTGACCCCTAATCTCCAGCAAATGACTTTTCTGGTGTTTAACTGAAGAAACATCTGTATGTTCTAATGCTTAAGAAAAAAAAATTGTTTTTTGTTTGTTTTGTACTTACTGAGAGATGGCATGGAAATATATTTTATGGGTGATTTAAGGGATTTGCTGAGATTAGTTTTTAAATGCACATGACGTTTTCTTATGGCTACTTTTATACTCCAGTCTCTCCCTAGAGTTATAATTTCATTGTATGCTGGTGAATCCAGACTTACCAAATGACACTACCGCTTACATTCTCAAAGCAGCCAATTGGCCATATTTCATTTTGAAAACATAAGACCTGCCATTATATCATGAATACTGGGATTTCTATTTAAAAAATCATAAAACAAAGGGCATATTCTGTCCCATTTCCCTATTTGAATTAGAAAAATTTCCCATGTGACCTTTCCCAAATCATAGGAAGAAAACAAATCTTTAAAACTAAAAGGCCTTTAACAATTCATTAACTGTAGCTGAAGAATTGGCCACAGAGAATGACCATTCTCTCGCCAACACATCCCCTCTTTATTAGCAAGAGTCTCAGCATTCACTGCCGGAGTAGTTACAATATGGAGACAACCAATTGGCTCCGTCCTCAACTCCACTCTGGCTCCATTCCCTCCAGGGTCAAAGCAGATGAGGTTGACCACGATGCCTCACCATTCCGAGGGGAAGGGTATCTGGGACGGAAGAAAAAAATTGACCATCCTCCCTTCCCTTGCAAAGCCTTCTGTTTGTCCTTCTGTCCTTAGCTCTTCATCCCTCTCCCCACTGAGGTGACTACCTCCCTCACTCTGAAATGTGGTCATTTTGCTTCCTTCTTCAGTACTGCTGGACCTTACTTGCTCCCTTTATTAGAAGTTGCACGGCTAGTGGCCAGAAAGTTGATAAGGTGGTGTTACTGTAGGTAGAAAGAAAAGGGCTATGGGGAGAGGCGGGGGAGGAAAGGAAGGAGAAAGTAAGGGGAGACAAAGAAGGAAGGAGATGAAATCATTCTGAAGAAAAGGTGCAGCCACCAGACTGGCCAGAGCTAGATTCCGGTGGTAGGGAACAAATCCAGGAAGCCATTTTGTCCTTCAAGGTGACCTTTAGCTAGTTATAAGGGATTCTAGTATTATCAGCATTGTGAGCAGGGAAAGTCTCCACCCTGTCTGCCGCCATGGCAGTTCCAACAAGGGCGAAATGAGGACAAAATCTCTCTTCCCACCAGGAAGGTCTGATCAGCGAGACCCCCTAAAACTTGAATATTTAGTGCACTCATTTTAGAAGGAATACATTCCTAAGCCTCTTTGTTCTCTGGCACAGTTACTCTTCTCCTGGCCTGCCCACCTCCACTATTTTGGGAGTGCACTGTCCTACTCCTTTTAATAAATTCACCACTTGCTTGGCTTATTCAGTGTGTCCTTGAATTCTTTCTTGTGATGACACCAAGAACTACGGGTTTTCTGGCAACCGTAGCATCTGGGGACCCAAAGAGTTTAGGAGACTTGATTCATAATGGTTTCTCTCTAGTCTCTAGTTACAAATGTCATTAGCAACGTGAAGCACTGTAGCAGGGGGTTCTGAGGGAGATGAATCCGCATGAATTCCTAGACGCGTGCTAATCACAGCGGGCCTGCTCAGGCATTGTGCGGAAGAGAGTTTCAGAAAATGGGCTTCTGCCCTAGAGGGATTAGGCTGAGAAATTCAAAAGCTGCAAGAACAGGAAGTTTTTAATCATTTTTTAAATGGTTCATGTAATTACAGACTATGTTCTCTTTTATGTGATAATTTCATAGAGTATTATGTGAGATTTGAGCCCAGAAGTCTTATTTCTTTTGTTTGTTTTTTCTTTACAACTTGTCACTTCAGATTCTGTCAACACTGAAAAGTGACTTTGATGGTTTCAATTATCATATCGATTGCTTTCCTAGGTCATTACCGTTGCTTGATTCGGTCATTATTAGGTAGTTACTGAAGACACATCCCCTTGACAATGTGGGAAGTAAAATGAAATACGAGGACCTATCCCTGCCCTCTTGACATTTACAGTGTCTTTGATTTGAGATACAGACATGGACATTTAAATAAACAGAAACTATTTATGATTCAAATGCTCATTGATGGCACAGAAAATATTGGTGATGGAGGGACGAGGATGATAGAGATGATGTGTTTTGTTTGGAGAAAGTGTTGAAGCTGAGATTGGGCTGGTTTTACAGCAAAAAAAAGAAAAAGAGGAATACTATATCTAAATTTATTCATTCATTTATTTAGTAAGTATTTATATGTTAGGCTTCAAGGATTCAATGGTGAACAAGATTACCACAGTTCCTATCCTCAAAGAACTGGGAAACAGAGACTAAACAAACGATTACCTAAGTGTTGATGCATTGGAATCTTAATCAGGTGGGATGAATGTCAACGTTCATGAATGTTCAGCAGAGGTTGTGAAGGCAGATGGGGGTAGGGGAAGAAAGACCTTACCTTGTAGAGATGGCCTTGGATACCATTGTCCTAGGAGTTTCTGACCAAAGTGCCACCTTGGTTTTCAGCTCTTTATTCTAAAGTTGAAAAAACATGTGCAGAGATCACATTTATCAGCCACATGCTTAATGCTTCTGCTCAGCCCTACATCACTCTGTGGCAGTAAGTTTGTCCTTCCAGTCCTTCTACTGGAACACAGAATGTAGCCAGTTGAGAGTCACTATTATCTCTGAAATTACAACCACACTCACTAGCTATGTGGTCTCATTTAGCTATTTAACCTCTGTGTGTCTAATTTCCTCATCTGTGTAAAAGGTATAACCAGGGTTTCTTCTTCACAGGTTCTGAGAGGAGACAAAAATGTGTCTTGGCTCAGGGCCTGGAACAGATCTTTAAGACTAAAAGGCAGTTGTTTATAAACCATGTTGAGTGATTGCCCATGGATGGTATGTGTACATGATTTTCTTGTGACATTTGCTTATCATCATGTCCTGATTTGTATAGAATGAATATATTAGTTATGTACAAAATAGCATAAGAAACATATTTTATCAAGTAACATTTGCCAACAGGCCACTAAAGTAAGAAAAGCGGTAAGGAAATGAATGCCTTTAGAGACATTTCTTAGAAGAGGCTCTGGGACATGGATCACATCATCTGAGGCCCCCTGAGGTAAATTGGTCAGCCCTTAATGGACACTTGAGAGGACACTAGTTTTGCGCTAATTATTCCACAATCGCTGTGTTTTCAGCTGTTCAGAGCTGTGAGCATCATCGTTATGAAACAAATGGTCTCTTATAACCTAAAGAAAGCCTGAGCCTTGAAGAGGTCACCCTCCAAAATAAAAAGAACAGTGGTCCTCTGGGAAGGTAGAAATGCCAAAATTGGGTGAGGTTTACAAAATTTAAGATGTGAAAATATTTACAACCTCTTTCTGTTCTTATGCTTGTTTTCATCTGTTGAGGGAAAGCTGAAAGAACATGGCGGAAGGAACAGCGCGGCAGAGTGCTGGGAGCGTGATCATGGTCTATCCTGGGGAGGAGAAAAACTCCGAAAGATGATGAGGTTTCCAATGGAAGTCAGAGCATCTCTGTATTCCATGGGACAGGACAACATGGCAGGTGGACAGCAAGCAGGGAGTCCAAATACTGAGAGAGGGAGTAGAATGGGTGACCAGGTCCAGACAGTCAATGAGTAGCCATTTGACAAAGTCGAGCTGAGGTGGCAGCACCAGTGGGGTCCTCAGGTACCCCAACCTCAGTGGGGGCCCCACCGCACTTCCTGTGAGGTAGGAGCACCGCCAGCTTAGGACTGCAGCTGAAAGACTCAAAAGACCTTTCCTAGTTAAGCGGGGATAAAGTCTCCTAACAGTAAATCATACAGCTTTATGGTAAGTTTTGAAACACTGAAAAATAAGAAAATTACGAGGCTCCTTGAAGTGAGCGAGGCCTGAGGCAATGCTTGGAAACCACATGGATATGGATGAAGTAAAAAGAGGAAAGAAGACACCTCAGGGTGGGTGACACCAAACCTGGCTATCTGCCTAGAGCTGAATTCCACAAGAGTGGCTTTGACCAAGCTTTCTTGATAAAGAGAAGTTATCTTTCTCCTCAATAGAGTATTTTGGAAAATTTAGATGAAATTTAACAATTATTTAATAATATTTAACATTAATAACTTACTATAAAGAAAGTTTAATAATACTTTAATAATTAAGAGTACCTCCCCACAAAGCTATAATTTCTTATTCTTAGAAGATGCACATACACACACACTCACAAAAAGATACTCATATATATACACACAGACACATGCATGTACACTCAAACACAGACATTCAGACACAGGCACACACAATCACACACACACCCATTCACATACAGACATACTCAGTGTCACGCTGGCACATTATCATGCACAAGCACACACACATAACATTCATACACAGGCTCACCGATACACTGAACATGCACACACACACACACACACACACACACACGCACTCGCACTCACACAGAAATGCACAACAGATTCCCTCCTTACCTGAGCTTCAAGTGTGTTAACTTTTTCTCTCAGATTTTCAATTCTTTTATCTTGTTCTTTTAAATTATTTTTCAGTCCTTCTATCTAAGAATTAGAAAACACAATTGGAAAAAAATCTTGTCAGACAACAGAAAATGAAATCAGAAATTGTACAGGTTTCTACGGTCAAACGACGTTCACCCAATAAAAACATTAAATCCCCAAGCATTAGCGGACTCAGCAGGCTACAGGACACAGCAGTGCAAATTGGCACTTTGGGATGAGAGCTTGTAGAGGGTGCCGTTAAACATTTGAATCTTGGGAAAACCTGTTTAAACCAAATTCAGCAGGAGTGCATCTGTAGAAAGAAGCATCGGTCATCCTTTTGTGTCTCAGCTATGCGAAGTTTTCATCCTGCAGCTGCAGAGGCCAGTGGATTCATATGCAAGGCCAGGTGTGCGGAAGCTCCCTAAGGCAGAGATCTGGTCAACCAGTGGCATGATGAGGGGAGCTTGCTTTGCTCTAGAAGAAAAGCATCAGCCAAGGGTCAAGATGGAACTGGAGAAGCGGGGTGATGAAGATCAGAATGGTGCAGCAAGAGAGGAAACAGGGGGATTCTAAGGCCAACTCGGCCACGACCAGCTCTGCCATTTAACTACTGCAGGCCTCAGTTTTCTCATCTATAAAATGAGAACATGGGGCGCCCCTAAGTCCTTTCTGGCTCTCAAGTGCCATGAGTCACTTCTCTTGGTAAGGTCCTAAGTCGAGCAAGTACAGATGCTACATTTATGTCAGGGAGGTATTTGCGTTATTTAGAAAGACTCCTTTTGGAAACAAATATTAGGTAGGAAAATAAGCAAACAAATAAACAAACAAACAAATAAATAATAAAATAAAAAATAAAGGTCTGATTTCAAGTGTAAAGCAGAACCTCCAAACCAGCTCCATACATAACTTGACATTATTGTTATGAGTATACAATCCACCACCCATCTGGCTGCCATCACAATGACCTTGTCAGGATGTTCCCAGAGAAGAAAGGCCAGGCAACAGCCCTGTCCTAAGATACCTCCTAAGTAAACTTACATAAAACGAATCAATCACGCCTTCCTCAAGAAAAGGCGGAGTCGCCTCATCTACAAAATCTTCTAAAGAAGAGGGTCCATTATCTGGCTCAGGACTCTTTAAAAATCATGGAAACATCTAAAGGGCAGTTAAACACAATTTCCTAAATACCTTCATTGAGAACATTCAAGGTGTTGGCATACAGACAAAAGAGGGCATTGAAAACAGAGCCATGTTGTATGGGAAGAAAAAGGAAGTGTCAGTGGCGAGCAGTCTCTCGCTGATTGTAACATCCTGGCAAGCCGCTTGTGTTTGGTCTTCTCACAGCAAACAAACCATCTACCCGAGACACACGCTTGATTAATCTGACCTCCTGGATGACACTGCGCAGATTCTGATGCTGGGAGAGAATCACGAACTGCAGATGAGAGATCTGCTCCTGGAGAAGGGAAATTTCCATTTGAAGACCCTGGCAACTGGAAAAGCAAAGGGAAAAATAGGAGAAAAAGATCACTTAATGCATTATACAGCTGTTTTGCTTTGGAGTTTTACAGCTGTGCTGCCAGGCTCTCCTCACTCACTACACTGCTACTGGGCATCATGTGGATAAGATGCCCAGGGTCCCATGTGCCACACAAGACACACCAAAGATAAACAACCACGAAGTAGCCTCTAATTAGCTCAGACACAAACTTGAGCGAGAATATCAATTCATGTCAAAAGCTCCTTTCTGGCCACCTGTGACTCCCCGCCCTCCAGGAGGTAGTTGAGTCAAGTTGTA